AAGAGAAGAAATATTCCATTCCATTCTTACCCTTCTCATGCCTTGCCTGTATACAGACCACTTTCAGATCTATTGCTTCTTTTCTCTAATCCTCACTACTCAGTGTTCTTTGCAGACCAGCAAACATCACCATGTTCGTGGAGCTGGTTAGAAATCCAGACTTTCAGTCTTATACCACATTCGTGTTTCAACAAGGTCCTTATGTGATTCCTACACAGGCAGGTTTGAGAAGCACTTCTCTACTTCAGAGAGAGTGAAAAGGAGGATATTTCTTTTCTTTGATTTACTTTTGACCAATTTAAACCTGTGACTTTTTTTTCTCTCAATTGGCCATTTTTTTTCCCTTCTGGCAAACAGCTTCTCCACCTCACTCTAGAAAATCTGTCAGATTCTGCTAAGGAAAAAAAAAATTCTGAGTTGTCCTAAACTCAATTACAAAAGCCAGAGGGCCAAGAAGAGGCAAGAAAGGGGAGTCCATCAGTTAATGGTTTGGGACCAAACCAATTAAAAGCCTTTCCCATCTATGAATATATGTAGAAAGTGACTTTAATCTCATCATGGTCAATGACCAGGCATCAAGGCACTCTGTTTGCAAATAACCTTTCCTATCTATTAACCCCAACCAATCCAAAAGCAGAAAAACTTCACAATATGGATTGTCTTCCTACCCTCGACTTCCCCTGCTTTGCTTTATCCTGCTGCTCTTACCCATAGCAAATGTAGGCTCATTGAAAACAATTTATGCTTTCCATTATCAAAATGCTGCTGGCTCTTAGGTCCAGCAGACATATTTTTAACTGCTATCTATCTTTGCTGCTAGTAGCTACAGGAACTTACTCCTGGTCTTTTTCTATAATGGTTCAGTAAACTGTTTTATTTCAGAGATCCCTTGGTCTCAAAGGTTTTGGTTTGCCCTTTTGTATCTGTTAAACAAAAATGATAGGAGACCACAGTTTTGGATAATGCTCCTGGCCTTGAGCCCCAGTGAACAAAAATCGAAGTGAGGTCATGGTGCTAGTACTCCATGTTACCAAACAGAAACTGAGCTGTTATCTGGCCTTCTGAGACATCAGGAAAGATGACAGCCAAATTCTCCAAACAGGCCAGCTCTATCATTACAGTAATAAAGTTCTTTTCTTTAATCCATACCCAAAACAAAAAAAACAAAACAAAAAAAAACCAACAATACAAAACAAATAAAAAACCTAAAATTAACCTAATATTAACATTATTTTTTATTGTTCTATTTACCCCTCTTGCAAGAAAAGTACACTTGAGATTATTGATTTGCTTTTGTTCTTTGTTTCTACTTTTTCCCAGCCCTTTTCTGTCTATGAAACCAGCTTCTTCTACTCAGCTCACCAGAACTCTATCTATATGGAATGAAATAATGTCCGGTTCTAGAACAGCAAAGAAAGTCCATTAAGATCTCTAAGTTGTAGTTTTGTCCTCTGGCAAGTCAGTCATGTTTATTTACTAAACCATTTATTTGATAAGACTACAGGTTTCAAGTCTAGCCTAGTCTACTTTTTGGAAAGCCTTACAATTAATTTAACCATAAGGCAATTTTTACATGTTATATTTATTTTACAGTTAAACTGGTTTTTTTTGTTTGTTTTTTTTTTGTACTGAGGATTGAACTTGGGACCTTGTCCTTGTGAGGCAGGTGGTGGAACCACTGAGCTAAATCCCTGGCCCACAATTAAACTGTTTTAAGAAAAAAGAAAATACTTTTAAAAACTGTAATTTACAAACTCCACATAAAATATTTTCTTTCCTTTCTTTCTTTCTTCCGTTTTCTTTTCTTTTTCTTTTTAAAATTTGTGGTGCTGGGTATTGATGCAGAGCCTCACACACACTAAGCAAGTGCTCTGCACTGAGCTTCCCTCAGTCCCAAGTAAAGTTTCTAAAACTAAAAGCTGATTTTGGCAAAAGAGTAATTTTCCTCTGTAAATTTTTTGGTCTTGATAGATATTGGGAAGTAGGAAGAAAATGTTCAAATGGGAAGGGGAATAAGAGAGGAAGGAAGGGAAAGATATGGAAGGGAAAAGAAAAAAAAAGGAAAAAAAGTGGAAATAAAGCCTTTGTAAATCGGGAGGGAGGGAAGGGCTGAAGGGAGGGGAGGGGAATGGGAAAACAGAATCAAGATATATTGTGTACAGGTACAAATTTCCTATGACGAATGTGATCGTTATGTACATCAAAAGTGCATCAATAAAATTAATTTAAAATAACTAAATAAATAAATCTCTTGGCCTCTTAATATGTTTTCCTCAAAAGTTGCCAGAAAACTGCACAATTTCCAGCCCCTATCTTAATAATTATACAGTAGTGGATCTTGGAAGTTAACTTTTGGAAATTACTTTTTATTGAGAGTCTCCTCTCCTGATCACAATACAATCACAAAGCCCAAAACTGAGAGATAGTAGAAAGCAGTGATGAATACTCAGTATTCTTACACTGAGAGAAATGGAAGGTGCTAAAACTGAATGACCCTTAGCTGGTGACAAAGAATATCTCTTTTAACCAAAACATTGATCAAGCTCCTCAGAGTCTCTGCTTGGCTAGGCTTCACCCTCGGCTTCTCTTTTTGTCTTTGAAGTACACAGTTTGAACAAGACTGCTACTTATTTTAGTGAAAATCCCTTTCCCTTGATATCTGAATACCCCTCTTCAGCAATAATCCTAACAAATCCTTTTACAATATTTTGCAAGTGTTTCCATATTTTTTCTTTAACATTAGATACGTGTAATAGGTGAAATTCAGGCGTTCAGGACCAAGTCATGATTCCTGGCCACTGTTTTAGAATGAAAAAGTATTTTAAAGAATATTCTAGAGTCAAAATCGTCATAACTTTAATAAGCTTAATAAATTTCCTGAGTAGTTTTACAAAGATAAAAAAAAAAAGAAAGTAAAAGTACCAATCTAGGCAAACATAAGACACAAAGTGAACATAATACTGACTGAGTGGGGTCAGGGTGTGAATACCAGTTTAACATTTATTAGCGACTCAACCTCTGACAAGTCACTTGGGCCAGTCCCTGAGGTTTTCCTCCTTTAGAATGGGGAAATTAATAGCACCGTGTATGGTAGGAACTACTCCTCACCCACTGACATTTGCTACTCCTCTTTTTCCACAACAATAGATCCTCTAAATTAATTGGGCACAAGTCTTAGCTACCCTCTCTTGCAGCAAGGTATGTGCCAAGTGAAGTTTTGGCCAATGCAATGTTAGCGGAAGTAGTATGTGCAGCTCCCTGGAAGTGTAACTTTCTGCTAGCAGGAAATCAATATGAGGGCCACAGTTTGTCTATTTGTTTAGGGCCACAAGAAAACTTTATGAATGGAAACCTATACAGATGTACAACTGAGCAACACGACAAAAGCCAGAGTGTCTGACTCAATGCAGTGATAGTGTAGACTCACATCATCTATCAGAAGAAGTGAACCTGTCACTGTTATCTTGATTTCCTTCTCTCATGATGCAACCTAATACTCATTATGACCCTAGTTCAGCAGGGCGAGAGGATTTAATGAGACAGTACAAATAACAGTCCCTAGTAAACAGTGAGCACTCAGGAAGCGACTGCTATCCTTATTGTTTTTATCAGTTTTACATGAGAACAATGGTTTCTCTTTATCCAATCTTTTATTTTTATTGTCACTCAGCAAATATAAATCAATACTTATCCATAGCCTCTCCCATTTACTATTTACTGGAAGGACATCAGCTATTTTCAAGTGTTTACCTTTCTCCCAAGTAATTCTAGGATAAATCCTGAGTGCTTAAACCAATCACACAATCTTATTCCTCTAGGAGGTAATTGGATTAAGTGTGTAAAATTATCCAGTTCCGACCAATGATGAAGTAGAAGTTTGCCGGGGACTCTGAGAACAATGTCCCCACTCTCATAGAAGACTTAGAAAAAAAAATAATTTTCATTCTTCTGAAAACAAAATAATGCTTGGCTGTGATTTTGGCTGGCTGTGATGTTTGGAAGTGTATCAGTCACACAGAGACACAGAGAGCTGCTCACTTGAGGACCAAGCTGACACGCTGAGATGGGCAGTGGAAGGTGAAAAAGAAGCTGAGTCTTTAGAGATTGTCAAGGCTTTGCATTGACTAACTTAGTTACTGACGTACTTCCCAGGTGCTTAAGCCATTTATAGTTGAATTTTCTGTTATTTGCTAACTGACATCAGCAAAAAAACTTTTGCTAATTTGCAGTGTAAATGAGACCTAATGAATGAGAGCCACAGGAGACTATTTGGGATCTGTGGGGAAACATGTTATTCTTACAAGACTGGTAGAATTCATTGCAGACAACCGGTCAGGAAATAGATACTATATCAAGGAGGCAGACAGCTGGGCTGGGTGAGAGGCCCAGGTCTCAGCCTGAGAGGCTGAGACAGGAAGATCACAAGTTCAAGCCCAGGTGAGACAATTTAGAGAGCATCTATCTCAAAACAAAAATATTTAAAAGGGCTGAAGATGTAGCTCAGCACAACCCTGGGTTCAAGCCTCAGTACTGGAAAAAATAATCAAGAAAGCACAGGAAGAGCCATGCTACTATTTAAACGTAGCTCCAACCAAGGAATCAGGTGGTCCACAAAAGCCCTCCTAGACCTCAGAGTTACTCAGGTAGATGGGGATCTACAGTACTTCTATTGCCAGATCTTTCAGATCCTAAAAGCTGTAATGCTGAAGACACAATCTTGAAAATTAGACTGATATTAATTTAACATTAATGAATGTTGAACAGAGCTCTACAGGGGGCATAACTACTATTTCCCTGTACAGACATTTGTAGTAATTTTTTGTGACTCTCATGGTCCAGCCACATTCTAGTGAGGCAGATATTTTTAAAGTACATTTTGAGTTTTAATAAATAAAAATGTCAAATTTAACAATGAGGCCCTTCGTAGATGATCTTTTTTTTTATAATGATCAGATTATTAATTCTCACTCCTTCAAAATAATAAATACATTGTGGCATACTTCTGTTGAAATTGCTTCTCTCGCTTCAGATCTTCACTGAGTTTCTGTATTCTCTGTTCCCAAACTTCCTTTACAGCATTGACAGCCCCAGTACAAACCACATTTTCTGTCATGGTTTCTCCACATTGTCACAGTCATCACCTTCACTGGGTTCTGAATAGTTGAGTCGCAGATGCAATTCCAGAAAGGACCTAATTGCACCAGAGGAAAAAAAATGCAATGTGTTTTGCAATTTTCATTGAGTACCATATGAATCATAGTAGCTAAAATTTATTGACACTTTCCATGTCCCCCAAACTGTTTTAAATACTTTTTTTTTGAGAAGGTGGGTCTCACTGTGCTATCCAGGCTGGTCTTGAACTTCTAGCTTCAAGTGATCTTCCCATCTCAGCCTCCCTAGTGCTGGGACTACAGGAGAAGGCTACCATGTCCAGATGATAACTTCTTTAAAATGTACCATCTTTAGCAGGGTGTGGTGGGATATACCTATTCTCTCAGCACTATGGGAGGCTGAGGCAGGAGGAACACAAGTTTGAGCCTAGCTTGGGCCACTTAGTAACTCAGCAAGATCCTGTCTCAGATTTTTAAAAAGTAAAAATAAAAAAGGGCTAGGAACTAGGAATGTTGTTCAGTGAAAAGGCTCTGGATTCAATTTCCAGTACTCCCCATACATAGAAAATATCATTTTCAGTAATATTTAAATAAATCAATTTCTTAGGAATAAACACACCATGGGAGTTCTCTATGTGGTAAACTAAAAGGGTGAAACTAGGGTGAAACTAAAAAAGACCTAAATAAATGAAGAATTGTGTATGTACAGTATTCACTGATTGGAAGATTGAAACTGCAAAACTGTCATTTATCCCCATAGTGAAATACAATCAACCTCAACCAAAACCCCATTTGGAGAGGGGCAAATTGAAAATCAGGATCCAATGTTTAATGACAATTCCAAAGATACAAAGTAACCAAGGACACTTGCTAAAGAAAGCTAAAGTGAGAGGATTTATTCTATTGGAATCTCTTTTAAAGCTATACTAATACATAGTGTTTCCTTGGTGCAACAGACAAGCAGATCAACATAATTGAAAAAGGAAAAAAATCAGTGCTTGTTTTCAAAAATCTGCTTGTAAACTCCAATTCCATTCCGTATTATAATGTTTTAAAGCTGGGCACAGTGGCCCCAAGACCTTTGGAATGCCTGTACAAGAACGACATCCTGTCCCTTTTAAAAAAGGGTTTTTTTTTGTGTGTGTGTGGAAGAAGCATTGAAGGGAGGGGAATAAAAAAGAATTAAGATTTATTGTGTACAGGGCCAGGGATTTGGCTCAATGGTTCTGCCGCCTGCCTAGCAAGGGCTGAAGTTCAATGCCCGGTACCAAACAAAACAAAACAAAACAAAAAAACCAAAAAACAACAACAAAAAACCCATATGGTATATAGGTATATAGGTACAAATTCCCTATGATGAATGTGATAATTATGTGATCATTATATTTGTTAAAAGTATACCAATAGGGCTATTTTTTTTTTTGTACAAGGGATCAAACTCTTGCTAAATCCCCAGCCCCCAGTAGAACTAATTTTTAAAAATTCTTTATGATGAAATGAGGAAGACACTGAAAATAAGGATATCACTTTGTTGGGGCTGAAGGGAATTTAATTATCATCTCTCATAATGAGCTCAATATATAATGGACAAAATTGTTAAAAAAATAACATGTAACTAATTTTCAAAAACAAATACGGAGATAACCACCTAAGATTTTTTTTCCACATTGGGGATTGAACCCAAGGGTGCTCTACCCCTGAACTACTTTCTCAGCCCACTTTATGTTTATTTTGAATCAGGGTTTCACTAAATTGTTAAATTGCTCAGATAGAGCTTGAACTGGCGATCCTCCTGCTTCAGCCTCCCACGGTTCAGGGATTATAGTAATGTGCTGCCACACCCGACTGAAGATTGTAGTTTTAACCAAGGTGATTAAATTGTTATCTCTAGGGAGCAGGACTAGTGACAGAGAGAAGTGGGGTAGAGAATATAGTTCTTTGTTTTTAATCTTCTCTAAATTATTGGCTTTTAAAAACTAAAATTATTCACCTATTATGTAAGAAGAGAATTGTTTTACAGACACAAGTCAGAATTGCTATGTGATTTGCAACGTGCAGAAAATTATTTGAGATGGTCCTTATTTCCAAGCAGTGCATACAAAATTTACTCTGGAACAGACTGTGAGATCTTCCTACAATCAAGAAACCATTAGGGAATGAAGTAAAAACTGTGATGACATTCCACCTCACTCCAATCCAGGTGGCTATCAAGAATACAAAACAAACAAACAAACAAACAAATGTTGATAAGGATGTGGGGGAAAAGAGCCCTTCCACACTGCTGGTAGGAATGTAAATTAGTATAGTCACAATGGGGATCAGTACGGAATTCCCTCAAAAAACTAAAAATAGAGTTACCATTTGATCCAGCTTTATCATTCATGAGATATGCTTGAAGGAATTAAAATCAGCAGGATACCTGCATACCCATGTTTGCATAGGTGTCCAACAACAGATAAGTGGATAAAGACAATGTGGTCTGTATACACAACAGAGTGTCATTCAGTCATAGGAAGAATGAAAACTTGTCATTTGCAGAAAAATGGATGGATCTGGAGATCATCATGTTGGATGAAATAAGCCAGACTTGGAAAGACAAATATCACCTGTTCTCCCTAATATATCAAATCTAAAAAAGATGACAGAAAGTAAAAGGAAGACTCTTATTATTAGACAAGGAAAAGGAATAAGGGGCACAGGAAGGGGATATGCGAGTGTATGATAAGGATAAGTATGATCAGAATACATTATATACATTGAAAACCCCAAAAAAGTAAAACTAGGGTGAAGGTGGAGCAAGGAGGTAATGGGAGAGAAACAATAAAATACGTTATGCGCATGTACAAATCTGCCAGAATGAAACCCATTAATCTGTATAAGCAATATGCACTAATAAAAATTTGGGGGATTTAATTAGACTTTCTGATAATGTGTTTTTTTAAAAAAATAAAACACATTTATCTGGAACAGAATGAGTTTCTGAAAAAAATAGGTGGGGGCATGGGGATGTAGCACAGTGCAAAGGCCCTTGGTTCAGTCTCCAGGGCTATAGTTAATCAATTGATCAGGAAAATACCATCCCTTTTAGCCCCAAGGTGGGCAATTCTGAAAATATTGAGGATATGATTCATTCTTTTTGAGAGCACTAAGAAGACATTTGTAACTAGTTTCATTATCAAGAACAATTCTGCCTCAGGGGGACTGCCCTTACTACATTAAAAACATACATTTTGCTATAAAAAAGAGAAAAAAAAACAAACAAACAAAATCCCTTGGGATACATATGCTGGTATTCCTGAGCATATTACCTATAATTTATTGTCTCACATTTTTGCAAGATTTAAGTATTTGCTAAGACTTTATAATATCAAAAATTTAAATGCTTTTAAAATCTCAACTGTGTAAAGTGTGTGATTATATCAGTATATAATATA